CACATTGGCTTATCAGCATTCTGAAGCAACCATCGGGCCTATGTACTCACAGTCATGTTCTCACCCATGTTAGGCCTGAAAATGTCCCTTGTGCTATTACTTGCAATATGCTGTGTATTTTTTGAATTCTTTGAAATTTTGTGAATGAATGTGAAAATGTGTAGGTGTGCGCAGTCTCAAGTATCTGTACAACAATAAATTTATGATTTTCTTCGAGTTTTACAGATTATGAAAATTGCAGACGCACCTATGAAGCAGAAGGCAGAAGTTTGCTAAACTCAGCGGCTCAAATTCACAAAAAAATCGTTCGAGTAAGGAAGAAGTTTAGCGGAACGACGTGTGGCAAGGAGCCAGTGCAAAAGTGTGCGCACGCTACAAACCTGGGTGAAGAAAGCGAAGTCAAAACACATGGGAGGTGGTCATGACCCGCCTTAATCGATCGGGGATGTGAAATGCGCCAAGATTGATCAGTTTCAGCTTTAACATCCACTTGGTTTCGTACACGCGAAAAAACTGTGTGATTTTGAAGCCTAGCCTCATGTGCAAAACTAATCAGCGCCAACTTCCTTCGCGAGTGATACGTGTAGAGCGTGAGGGTTGATTTTATAGACGCTTGATCGAGGGACACACTCACAGAATTTCAGTTCTCTAGCTAATTGAACAGGTCGGAAAGCAAGGTACTGGCCGTGCTCGAAAATTCATTCTACGAGGACCTGCAGAATGGCAACAAAGATCCTAGTAAGTTTATAGCTTCTTACTCATCCAGATTCTCAAGCTGACACAATACCAACAGTGTCTCGAGTTAAGCTCCAGCGTTTCGCTATACGAGGTCAGTAAATGGGTGGGATTTTTTTTTTTTTTTGAATCGAACGGGTAAAATTAAGTTCAGCTTGTTTGGCTTACAGTGTTAACAAAAAAAAAAAAAAAATCTTTCACGAGTTCTTGCATGAGAAATAAGCAAAAACTCATTTCCTGTCTGACGGCTCACCAACAGAGAAGAAGCGACTCCCACGTACAAAAAGAGGGGACTCCAGGTAAAAGAAGAGTTTTTCAGATGGGACTGTGAAGCAGTGCGCTCATTACAGTGTTCAGTAAGCAACCAGATCTGGTTTCTTGCACCATAAATGACGCTTCTTGACCAATTACTTTGTTTCAAATATCTGGCTGGAAGCATGCAATCCAAATGTGTTTGTCGCCCGAGTACAAATGTTTCATTACCAGAATGTGTAAGGTCTGAAAATACAGAACAAAACGAACTGACTGAAACCTAAAAAATAACTGATGTGCTTTACCTT